AAATGTATAAAAGAACTGGAAGACTTCCTTGAAAAGGACATATAAATGACCAGTAAACATATGAAAAGGTGTTCATCATTTATCTAGGAAATGCAACTAAAAGTATAATGAACCATCTTTGAGGATGGTTCTCATCAGAAAATCTGGAAAAAAACAGTGTTGATTAGATGGTGGTGAAAAATCCTTTTCACTATTGATGAGAATGTCATTTGGTTCCACCCCTATGGAAAAAGTATGGAAACTTCTTGAAAAAGTAAGAATAAAACTTTAATATGACCCAGTGATTCCAGTTCTTGGCATTATTCCAAATACTCGAAAACCATTAATTTGAATAGGTATAGACACACCTTTATTTCATTGCAGCACTAAGTACTATAGGCAGGATATATAAACAACACAAATGTTCAATGGCATATGATTAAGAAGTTGTGGCATATGTACATAATGAAATATTAAACAGCTATATGGGAGAATGAAATCTTGTAGCTTATTGCAACTTGAATAGAACTGGAGGCTTCATGTTAAGTGAAAAGAATAAAGAATAACTACTGGATATTTTTGATTTAATTTTTTAATTGAGTAACAGTGGTATACACTGTGGTATACACAGTTACAAAGTGGTTTCTGATTGGGTTTCAGTCATACAGTATTCTAACACTTGTCCCTTCAACAGTGTACATTTCCCACCAACAGTGGTCCCTGTTCTCCCCCACTCCCTGCTTGCCTCCATGGCAGGCACTTTCCTTCTGTCTGTCTGTCTGTCTGTGTTTCTGTGTCTGTCTCTCCCTCTCTCTCTGTCTCCCTCTCTTTCTTTCTCTCTCTCACTCTTTCCTTTTGGGCCTTATGGTTTACAATACAGATAATGGAAGGTTATCAGGTATATCACTTTACCTACTTTCAACTCTCAGTTAATACTAGATAATTTTACTTATCTGTGGTATATATAGAACCAAAACAAGGGAATAGACAGTATTAAATGATGACAGGCCCTTGATCTTTGATTGCAGAACTGAGATTACCAATCAGTGTGAGGAGAGGAGAGAGGCGGAGTAGTGGTGGTGATGGTAGAGGTGCAGTAATCGCAGTTAATTGCAGGCAGAGTAATCATGGCTCCTTTAAAGGAGATACTGAGAAATCAAGTGAGTACCTATGTGTGCTTTCTTACTGGCTTCTGCTTCCTGCCTGCAACCATAGCACCTGCCATCAGTAGGGGAAGGCGATGAGAGGTTTCTTCTTGCTGATGTCTTTTCTATTTGGTTGTAGTTACTGAGGACTCTAGCTTTAATGGGTGGAGGAGGGGATTCCTCATTTCTCTTCCCTCTTGTCTCACTTGTTCCTATTTTCTTTGCCTTGGGGAAGGGGTTAACAAGCAGTGCTCTGAGGGACCCATGTCCACTTCCAGAAGTAATTGCCTTTCTTTTTCTCTTTCTTTCTCTTGGGCTTCTATTTTGATGGTTCGGTTTTTAGCATTATAGTATTTCTAGGGTCTGGAAATGCTTAGAGTCACCTGGACAACATCTGTTGGTACTCACTTAGAGGGCCATGTGGTACTGGGGATGGAACTCAGTGCCTATCATGTGCAAGATGTGCTCAATGAGCTACTGACCCTGTCCTGTTTTCATGATTATATGGGTTACTAAAGCAATAAACCCTTTAAAATAAACACTTGGAACCAGTGAAAATACTTTAAAGTTTAATTCTGACACTCCTTTTAGAAAAGTAAGAAATAAAAATAATTTTGGCAGCAAAACTGACATTTTAAAGTAACACCTCCCCTGTAATATATTGGATCTACTTAATGACACAAGAGTTTAGGTCTTCCTTAATAAACATGGCTATTTTTCTAATCACCATAGCTTTTTATTTTCATGTTCTGATAAAATAGGTCTTTAATTTAAATGACAGATTTTAGTTTGGTCCAGTTATTTCTACTAAAGAGTTAATTAAGCAGAAAATAGCGACACTCATTTTGTTTGTATTGGGTCCAACCAAGAATCCCAGAGGGACTACGACAGTTCATTTCAGGTAAGAGCAAGTTGAATTGGCTTGACAGCCTTTCTGAAATTATAGAAAACTGGGCTGACACATGACCTCTCTCCAATCTAGGTGCTTAAAATAGTTACATTTTCTTGTACCATGAATGAATCTTCTAGAAATTAAAGGATAGTCGTGAAGGTATTTGAAAGGGATCCCTCTTCCCCTGCTCCCCTTAACATTCAGGGGAATTATTTTAGAACCTAATGAAAGATAAGACACACAGAGCAAGTCATTAGAGCTAATATGTATACTGGTGGGCAAATAAGCTTCCTTATTTGAATCTGATAATCTGAATAGTACTGTTCAGGTATTCTACTTAACCAGGTGGCACTTAATGATGGTGTATAGATGTGAGGGAACATCTGTCAGGGTGGGTTCGGGCACATGGGAAGTGGTGGAACATCTGGGTATGCACAGTTCTTTTCATATTTTCCAACTAGTTGTAGCATTTGATTTCCCCTGGGGTAGAGTGAATAAAGAACAGAGAAATTTTTTTTGCCGAAACTCTACTTTTCTGAGGTAATGTAGCCACTCTACTTAATGTTCACTCATGCAAGAATAGTGTGTCTTTGTACATTTTGCCTTTAACATGTGAACTTATATAAGCATACATATATATTTACATATATATATAGGGGGATATTTTTTTCTGAAAGCCAATATTTGGATCTTGTTTTTGAAAAATATAATTTGCCATTTATATTCAGTACTTATACTTACAGTATTTATATCTCGTGTAATTATTGAAATGACTGTATCTGCCTTATTGCAATTTATATTCTATTTGTCTTTTTTTCTTTTTCCTTCCTTATTTTGAGTTGATTGACTCCCCTGCACCCCAAGCCCTTTTCCTTTGTTGTTGTCATTGTTGAATTTCCAGGGGGTACATATGTGTTACAGTGCTTGCCAACTTCAGATTATTACACATGGATTCATATACAATACATAAGAATCTTACATTAGAACTTAATTTCTACAAGTGTATGAAAGTTCACATATAAAAGAACCTTGTACAAGAAACTTATACTAGAATTGAACCTATTCTACTTATTCTATTATTTTGAAATTCATTTATTTATTTATTGTATTTATTATTATTGAAATCTGACAGTTAATGTCTTTTTCGGTTTTATTAAGTAAAATTGACATCAATTTCTAAAATAAAGTATATAAATTATTGATTTGCTGAATCTATACATTATAAAAGTATTGCCCCATTGAGTTAACACACACATCACTTCATATATTTGCCTTTTTAATTTGAGAACATTTTGTCTACACTTTTAGCATACTTCAGTTGTACCCTATAGTGTTATGTATAGTCACATTGTGTTACATTAGTTACTCAGACTTTATTCATCTTACTGCTGAATTTCCATTTTTTCCATCTCAACTATTTTCTTCACTCTTCCCTTTTTTTTCATTGTGTTTTTCCTTACTATTTTACACTGATTTTTTTCCCACAAGATTATATATGTTTGGGGGATACAGTTTCACACCTCTTCAAAATATATGTTACCGTAACACATTTAGGGTCAGAGTACCAATATTTTTCCATCATAGTTCATTGACACTCAGCTCCCAATTCTGTCCTCTGCTAACCCATCCTCTCAGTCCTGCCATCAGTGCCCAAGGGTTTGCTTTGTTTGTTTTGGACTTTTTAAGCAGTGTTGGGGGGGGGACCCAGAGACCACTCCTGGTGATATTCTGCCACTGGGTCACATGGTTTAGTACTGGGGTCTCATATTGAGATGCTGCTTGGCTCTAGTTAATGCTGGGTCACTAGGGCCACCCTGTTGGTGTGAGGGTGGGAGGGGATACTGGGGAGATGCATATGGTACTGAGTATTGAACACTGGTTGTTTGGTCCCTAAGTTATCTCCCCAGCCCTCAGTGGGAGCTACAACATGGGTGAAACTGGAAGATTTCATGTTCAATGAAGTAAGCACCTTTTATTGTTCATTGATTTGCTTGAGCAGTCACCAGTAACGTCTCCATTGTGAGACTTGTTGTTACTGTTTTTGGTATATTGAATACGCCATGGGGAGCTTGCTAGGCTCTGCTGTGTGGGCGGGATTCTCTCGGTAGCTTGCTGGGCTCTCTGAGAGGGATGGAGGAATCAAACCCGGGTCGGCAAACACCCTACCTGCTGTGCTATTGCTCTAGCCCTTTCAATGAAGTCAACCAGAAGAAGTCAAATACAGGATGATCTCACATGTTGCATATAGAAGAACTGGACAAGGGAATGTAGTGTCTGAAATTGGGGATGCCTAGATCATCCTTGGCCCCAGAGTATAGGGAAGAGAGAAGAGCAAAGAAGAGGAGAAACTGAGGGCGAATGAGAAACGGATGGGAAGCTACAGGGAACAAGGATCAAGGGGATCCAAACACACAGCTGGTGTAGAGGAGTGATACAACTATGTATCCAAAGCATAGAGTCAACAACACCGGAAACAAGAGATCCAAACTTCAACACCAAACTTAAAAAATGTGCCTGTCAAAGTGGCAGATTAGGGAGGGGGCTCGAAGGTGGGAGTGGGAGGGAACCTGGACATTCTGGTGGAGGGAAGAAGACACTGGTGGTGAGATTGGTGCTGGAACATAGTATGTATAAAACCCAAACAAGAATACCTCTGTAGTATTCGATATGCCAGACACAGTAACAACAAAGTCTCCAATGGAGACATTACTGGGCCCGCTCGAGCATGGCATTCTAACAAAACAAAAATTTAAAGTATATGGACAGTTATGCCAGGTTTAGTGCTCAGTCAAATTAATTTTTATTTTAGTTTCATGATATCCTGAAAGGATGAACGTGCCTCCTAAAATACGTTACACGTCCAGGGGAAGAGGCGCCTTCTGTGCTTTGGTGCTTATTTGCAATAACAAGAAAATGATTTCTATTTTCTCATACTAAGTAGTAACCTTTTTAATCTTCTCTGTGTTCTCTGCTCTCTCCTCTAGGAAGAACGTGTTGTGAATCATATGGCAGCCAAGATTGTTGAAAATGTCTGCACAACTTCTTCCCCTCAGGCTCAGGGCTTTATTACAGGAGAAATTGGACCTGTTTTATGGTACTTATTCAGACATTCTTCTGTTGATTCTCTAAGGATAACAGCAATTTCGGTAAGATGGAGCATCTTTTGGGGAATGTGTCTGGGTTTGTTTTCAACACTAAGTTTGAAGAAGTCTGTGAGAAACAGAATACATTTAATTGGGTGGGCATGAAATGTCAGCCTCAAAGTCATAATTGATGAGAACAGTAATTTGATTTTCTTCTGGAGCAGAATTTTAAAAACGGGGCTGGAAAACCTTGAAACCGGCAAGAAATTCCAGTCATCCTTTGTTGAAACCCGGGCATAATTTACAAAACTCTTTGGAGGGGGTTGGAGAGATACTCTAGGGTTCATGTGCTCACCTCGCATAGGGTCTGCTGGTGTGGCTCCCGAACAGAAACGTTCTTTGGAGGGACACAAGCAAACGGACAGTGACAGGGCCGAAGTCTGGTTTGGCTTATTTTTTGTGTCCCCTTACCTTTCCTGTTGGTTTCCTCTTCCAGATTTTATGATCGGGGGTTTATTGTGTGGTTCAGTTGAATTCATTTTAATGTTCAGGCATCTGTGGTTTTGTAGTTTTTGTATTTTTATTGGTTGTCACTACTTGGCTCACATGGTTATAATGACTTTTGGTGTAAAGGATAATTATGTATGAAGATGTGTTAACATTTGTATCAATTTAATAGTCTATTGAACAAATATAATGCTTTCTCATCTGATTTATTTAAATATCTGTTTGATCACCATCATCTGAAATCAGCATTCTGCAGCAACCTCTATATACTCCTCTAGTCTGTTCACTCTTGTCTGCTGTTTCATCTTATCCTTACTCTCCTTTTTTTAGTCCCAATTTTACGTTTCCTGCCAGTATCCTCAGTAAATGACCTTCCTCCCAACCCCCCACTGCATGTCCCCCAGAAAAATAAAGACATCCAATCCAAAGGGAATCATCCCAACGTAGGTCCTCCACATTTTTATTTTTACATCTCATCTTAGTTCTTTTGCTCTTGTTACTATGGATGAATTGTACCTTCTGTCAGAGGCAGAACAGATCTCTATATTTTTCCAACTCAAAGGCAGCCTACCCATTCACTCTGCTCCTTTCTTGGGAATTTTGCTTCTATGGCTATTTTTCTCTTTCCTAAGTCTTTGACCTTCTCTAAATCTTTATATTCTCTTAATCTGCATTTGAGGTATTCTTTATTCTGCATTCTTTTTTTTTTTCTCAAACACAAATGAATACATCATTATCTCAAGGCTATGTAGTCCTTCATCCCAGCTGTACTTCTTTAAAATCAGCTTGCAGACTCCGGCTCCTGTCATGTTTGCTTCCTCCTCAGCTCAGTCTAGTATCATTCTCCCATCCAAGTACTGACCAGGCCTGACCCTGCTTAGCTTCTGAGATCAGACCAGATCTGGTGTGTTAAGGGTGGTATGGCCATAGACAATTATCATTCTCAAAATGCCTCTGCAGCTGCTCTCACAATTAGATATCTCATGACTTTTGTGTTTTTAAATGCTGGCGGGTGTTTCTGGTGACCTTTCAGTTCTGTTTTTTTTGTCTATGTAATTTTGAAGGTCAAGGGTTAGAGCTTCTGCTGACCAAGAATCATTAAGCAAAGGCTATAGCACAGCCAACCCATTCACACAACTATGCTTCAGGAGCCCCATGAGTCAAAAACGGAGAGATGACTGTTTGTAGAGGAATGGTCAGAAAGGCTTATGCCCTACACCAATGAATGTCTTCAAGCCATCTTTGATTTTCTTTTTTAGGACAGGGGCCACACTTGATGATGCTCAGCGGTCACTCCTGACTCTGTGCTCTGAGCACCTCCTGATGATGCTTAGAGGATCATATGGAATGTGAACTTGGGGCAGGAGTGTGCATGGCAAGCCCCTTACTCACTGCACTGTCGCTTCAGTCACTCAAGGCATCTTTTTTTTTTTTAATTAAATTTTATTTTTAATGGATTTTAAAATTGAATCACAATGAAATACACAGTTACAAAGTTGTCATGGTTAGGTTTCAGTTGTAGAATGTTCCAGTACCGGTCCCTTCAGCAGTGCACATTTCCAACCGCCAATGTCCCCAGTTTCCCTCCCACCCCTCCACCATACAGACATCTTTGAATTGAATCGCAATCTTAGGCATGCATTGTAGTCCTTGCCATTAGAAAAAAATTCTGTTCAATTGGTATTATGAATTTCATCTTTATACTCATCAAGTTTTCTTGTCAATTTTTTTCTAATTGTTCCAACCGAGGTCTTTGTTTTTATTATTAAAAATCGTTTAAAGTTTTTTTTTTTTTTTTTTTGCCATGCCCAGCATTGCTCAGGGGCTACTCCTGTCTTGTGTCATAGGGATTATTTCTAGTGGTGCTCGGTACACCATATGTAGTGCCAGGAATCCAATGGGAGTCCACTGCATGAAAGCCCAGCACCTGACTTCCTATACTGTCTCTCCAGACCTCCTGTATTATCTCTCTGGACCTCTATACTATCTCTCAGACCCGCACAATCTCTCCAGCTCCTATTTGTTGTTGTCATTGTTTTGGGGTCATTCAGTTGTGCCCAGGGATGCCAGGAATTCGATTCATTCATTCAAAATGCCAGGAATTAAATCTTGTTTGGTCACACACCATTCCTGGTCCTGTGCTCAGGGATCACTCCTGGCAGTGCTTGGGTGAACATATGTGGTGCCAGGGAGAAACCTGGGTCAGATTTGTTTAAAGCATCGCCTTATTCATGTTATCTTAACTCTCCAGTCCCTGGACCCAATTTTTAAAATTTTAATTCAAATTTTTGTTGAAGTAAGCATCCACTTTTCAGAGGACATATTTAGTCTTTGATAGAATGTGTATATTGTGAAGGGGTAAATCAGGAGAGAGGAGTTGATGTGGTGGTAGGGTTTATCACAAAAAAAATTTCTGTGTACCATGAAGATAACTCAAGTGGTAGAACACATGCCTTGCCTAGTATGTGCTTGTCCTTGAGTTTAATCCCCAGCAACACATGAACCTCCCCACCCAGCACCAGGAGGTGTTACTCTAAAGTGTTCCCCCTTCCCCCACTCCCCCGCCTCACCTTGTACCTAAAACTTTTTGTTAAGGGATTTTTTTTTTCAGATTACACCTAGCAGTTCTCAGAAGTGATGCCTGGATTGAACTGCAGTTGGCCACATGCGGGGCAAGCATCTGAGCTCCTGTACTGTGTCTGGCCTTTTCACCAGAGTCTTGTACCTTCTAGCCCCTTCTTCACCAGTTTGTATCTACATATATTTATATATGTTGTATACATAAATACACACACATATATGTATATTTCAGTTTGTTTTTGGGCTACTTCTGGTGGTTCTCAGAGCTTACTCCTGGCTCTGTGCTCAAAGATTACTCCTGGCAGTACTCAGCTTGGCCATATGGAATGCCGGGAATCAAATCTTGTTTGGTCACACACCAGGCAAGCACCCCCTCCGAAGTACCTTGAGTACCTTCAAGGTGCCCCTGAATACCTTTTTTTCCCTTACTTTTTTATTAGGTATAACTTTTTTTTTGGGGGGGGTCACACTCGGCAATTCACAGTGGTTGCTCCTGACTCTGTATTCAGGAATTACTCCTGATGGTATTCAGGGGACCATATGGGATGTTGGGAATCAAACACGGGTCAGCTGTGTGCAAGGCAAACACCCTACCCACTGTACTATCACTCCAGCCCCCGAGGAATAACTTTTAAAGGATGTTCATTCTTGGAGATGGTAAAAAAAATACTTAATTTTCCCTCAGGAATTGAAAAAGGATGAAAACATTTTTTCAGGTCTTTATTTTTTCCTTTCCTATTTTTTGACATCATGATATTCCTAGCATATCATCTAAATTTGATCTTTCTCATTTTTTATTAAGGTTATAAATGTGTTGAAAATAGAAAATCAGGAAAAAAGACATTAGTTAAAAAGAAGGCTCTTCTGAAATTATATCTGGTTTAAGTTTATTTCTCTACAGTCTCCCATATAGACACAGTATATAATCAACCTTCTCTCCTTTTCCCCTTCTTTTGAAACTTTATTTAAACATCGTGATTTACAAACTTGCTTATAATGCAGTTATTTCACGTGTTCCATATTTCAACACCAATCCCACCAACAGTGTGGCCTTCCCTCCCCCAATGTTCCCAGCTTCCCACCCACCCTACAAAACTGCTACCTTAGCAGGCACAGCATAGTTTATATTGTTTGTTATAACACACTAAAATATAAAATTCCTCCTGCATTGATCAGTTTCTTTGTAGAGGGTGTTGTTGCTGGGATAGATGGAGTGGTATCTGCATGCTGGCGCTCTGAGGTTTCACACATGTGCTGGCTCCAGTCCTCTTCGAAGGTCTTCTGTTTGCTTCTGATGTAGAATTTACAAATTCTGCTTGGTTGGGACCAAACTCTGCCCCCAACTGACTTTTCTAGATAACTTTAGATGTTTTCTTCTTTCTGTTCCCTGCCTCTTCTCATACAGTCAAAGCATGTGCTAGGTATATCCCAAATTTTTCCCTTCCAGACATGCATCTTCACATCTTCCAGCAAAAGCTTGTTTTCTTCTCTTGGCTGAACTATTTACTTATTTTTCTACCTTTCCACATCTCACTTACTCTGCAGATTCATGGGACATCATCTTCCTTACAAAGCTTTTGTTGCTTTGCTTTTTTTCATTTTAGAGAATCATTCATTTCATTAACCCTTCTGACCTCTGACTTCTGTGGCCATAAGGGTAGGCTATGGCAATGGTTTTTTTTTTTTTAAATTTTTATTAGTGAGACACCATGAGGTACAGTTGTAGACATACAAATTTTTGTGCTTGGGTTTCAGTTATACAATGATCAAATACCCATCCCTCCACCAGTGCCCATTTTCCACCACCATGGATCCCAGTATCCCTCCCACCCCCCACTTCCCCGACCCACCCTGCCTCTGTGGCAGGGCATTCCCTTTTGTTCTCTCTCTCCTTTTGGGTGCTATGCCAATGGTTTTAACATTACATGATGTTGAATTTTGAATCTGGACCAGGGATTGAGCCCAGGACCTCTGCATGCCACTTTCACACCCCAACCCTTTGAACTATCGCCCCACCTTTTAGTTTTAAATTCTCGATTTGCTTGAGTGGGCCCAATAACGTCTCCATTGGAGACTTTGTTGTTACTGTGTCTGGCATATCGAATACGTCACGGGGAGCTTGCCAGGCTCTGCCGTGCGGGCGAGATACTCTCGGTAGCTTGCCGGGCTCTCCGAGAGGGGCGGAGGAATCGAACTCGGGTCGGCCATGTTGGCTGCGTGCAAGGCAAACGCCCTACCGCTGTGTTATCGTGGTATGTTTTATTTCTCATTTCTCTTAATAAAAAGCAAGTTAAGAGAAGCTCAGGGGACTGATTACCCTTGTTTGAATCCAGCTGTGCCATTTACTAGCTATATGCTTTTGGCAAGGTACTTAAATACCCCGTGCCTTAGTTTTATCATATATAAAGTTTGCCTAATAATAATGCCTTTTTAATGTGTTGTTACGAGAAGTAAATGAGCTAGTCTTCAAATTTCCTCAGTGTTCTTCCCATAGAAAACAATAAATGTTAGATATTTACTTTAGTGACTTTCCTGAGCACTTAATTCAGTGCTCGCACACAAGAAAGCATGTAATGATAGTCCTCTTTATTACTTAACGCTTTTCTGTAGAGATTTATAAATTAGTCTGTCATGTTAATTAATTCACCATATTTAGGTGATAATTTTTGGAGTTTCTATTAAAATAACTTCAGTTTTTATTCAGAAAGATGATTATTATTTTATTTTCCAATGTGTTGAAAAATTTCCAGCTGTGGGTAAATACCTCTTCTCCTTTCTGCCAAAGTATGTGATGTCTTTGCAGGACATGGTGAATGCACTTGGAGTTGTCTGACAGACCTGTTTTCCTTTCTCTTGCAGGCCTTGTGCAGAATCACTCGTCATTCTCCTGCTGCCTTCCAGAGCATTATTGAGAAGGTGGGACTGAACACAATAATCAGCTCCCTGGCGCCTGCCATCTGCAAGGTGCAGCAGTACATATTGACCCTATTTGCTGCCATGCTGTCCTGTGGGATTCATCTTCAGAGACTAATCCAAGAAAAGGTTTGACTTAGATTTTACCTGTTCTCGCCTTTTAAAAGCATTGTTTCCTTTAGAATCTTCAGTGGTTGAACAAGTAATAGCAAGTGTAATATCAAGTGTAGATTTTTTTTTTTCATTTCAAGGGACCTTTTTGAACTTTTCCAAATCTTTGGATCACAGACATTCATCTGACGGTGTATAAGAGTCTTTTAGCGATTAAAATAGAAATTCCATCGATGGCTCTGCTGACTTGTTCTATTTGAGAAATGAAAAGTTAGAAAATATGAGTTATTCCTCTATGCTAGTATTTCCTTGTCTCCGTATCCTTAACCACTTCTTTTCCTGTTAAGTTCTTTCCCTGCTTTCTTTTCCCTCTTTACTTAGGCTTACTTTATTCTTATTTTTCTTATCTAGTATCTGCTTATACAAATCACTTTTTAGAGCTGAAGTCCTTTTCTCCTCTTTTTAATTTAATTTCTTTCTAATTCTTTATTATTCCCTTATTTTATGTATAGTTGACTCTATAAGTGTCTATTCACATCACAGAACCACACAGTTCTGTGATGAAGAAATACCCATCACAGCTTTCTTCCATGTTTCTTCTCTTGCCCTTACTATAGAATGGTCCGTGAACCAGAGTATTGCATTGCTGGGCAAGTGCAGGAAATGCAGTTTCAGCCACCTGCCCCAGACTTGCTGAATCAGAATCTACATTATAATGAGATCTTTAAGTTGTTTATTTGAGCTTCATGGTTTGAAAAGCCTTCCCTAGAATAATAGTGTTTAGTAATTTGTTAACAAATGAAAATTGGACTATAGTTGTGTATGTGTTATGAATATGTAATCTGTATATACATATAGGTATATACATATGCATAGAGAACTGTGAGGCAATGTTAAAGTGATAATTTCAAATTTTCAGTCTTTTCCATATGCTTATGTGTATTATGAATCTTGAAGAGAGGCATATGCATATTTAAAATTTATCTTATTTTATTGTGGGACCATGGTTTTCAAAGTTATTTATAGTCAAGTTTTAGACTTAAAATGTTCTAACACCAATCCTACCATCAGTGTTTTCAGATTCCCTCCTACCCGTCACCTTCCCTTACATGCCTTGACATACAATACTTTATTTAAACACCATGTTTCACAGTTGTTCATAACATTTACTGGCTTTTGATGTTCCAATTCCATTACTGGAGTAAACTTCCCTCCACTATGACCTCATTTTCCAAACCATCCCTGCCCACCAATGTCTGCCCTCTAAAGGGCACACAGGAATTTATTTTATATTGCTTGTTGCAATTAAGTGGCTGTGGAATTTTAAAAAATACTTTAGCAAAAGAAAATTAGTGAAAATTGTTATATCTCATGACAGGGCTGTTAAGTCCTTCTCCAAGGATTTATGGAGCTGTTTGTTGCTAATTGGGTCTACTGTGTTAATGTTTTTGTTTGATGAGTTTAGTTGGCTTCTATGTTACTTTCCCATCTAATTTGTGGTGCTCCAACTGAAATGTCAGTACTGTAGAATTTGGAGGTGTCTTATGGAGTTTTATTGTGGGATTTGGAGGAAACTTCCATGTGTCTTCTCTTGCCCTAGTGGTTCAGAGACTTCAGGATCTGGAGTCTGGGCCAGTGACTTGACATGGTGGTGGCTGTGGGAAGTGGGTGTGGCTGTCGGAGCTGCCAGAAGTCTACACTGTGGGTGGGGGTGGCTGACAGGAATATTTTAAAAGTTTATTGTTCAAGTTTGGATTTCACATTTTCAGTGTTGTTGACTGTTGTTTGGATATTTAGCTGTACCAGTCTTTTGCACCACTGATGTACACAAATCCTCTTGATGACTGCCCCCATTTACTTCCCATCTGTCTCTTTCCCCCTCTTCAGTGTATTTCCTTCTCTGACCACCTCTCTACTCTGGGGCCAAGGGTGATCTAGGCATTTTCCCTTTCAAGCATGGCATACCCTTGTCAAGTTACTCTGTATACCACATATAAGCGATATTCTGTTTGTCCTTCCAGCTTACTTCATTTAACACGATATCTTCCAGTTCCATCCATGTTGTAGTGAATTGCATGATTCCATTTTCCCCCAAGAGCTGCATAATAATCCATTGTGCATCTGTAGGACATATTCATGATTCACTCATCTGTCATTGGATACCTAGGTTGATTCCATATCTTAGCTATTGTATTAAGTGCTGCAATGAATTATAAGGTGCATATGTCCTTTGGAATGAACGTTTTTGTGTCCTGGATGTAGATGCCCAGAAGTGGTATCTACTTGTAATAACTGGATGGTATCTACTGGTAATTAGTGGGTTTATGGCAGATCAATTTTTAGTTTACTGAGAAATATCCATACCGTTTTGCATAAAATTTAATCAAAAAACATTCCTACCAGCAGTGGAGGAGAGTTGCTTTTTCACCTCAACCCCTCCAAAACAGATTTTTCACAGTATTTTTTATACATACCATGCTCACTGATGTAAAATGGTAGTTCATTGTCATCTTGATTTGGATTTTCCTAATGATAAGGGATGAAGAATGTTTATCTCATGTGCCTGTTGGCTATCTACTAGTCTTCCTCAGAGAAGTCCCTCTTCATTTCCAGTCCCCAATTTTGACAGGGTTTTGGATTTTTGTTATTGTTGATATTTGTGAGTACTTATATACCCTGAATATCAACCCTTTATCTGATGTATTGAATGCAAATATTTCTCCCATATAGTTAGCTGTCCTTTAGTTTTAGCACATGTTTCTTTTGCCATGAGGAAATCCTTTAATTTTACCTAAATTCCATTTGTAAGAGGAGAACGTATTGCACAGCATTCTTTAATCTTATTGGGCCACAGTTATTCTGTTGTGTGGGAGAAATACATTACAAATTGGAGTTCCTGTCTCTGTGTCAATGTCTGAAGTCACTGTACTTGACTTTCCCTTCCAAGTGACTTGATCCTTTTACTCAAAGGGACTTTTCTTTTGAGAGTCTTGATGTTACAACTATAAGATGATTTTCCTAGATACACCGTGTGCCATGCTGTTGTTTGGGATTCCCAACACTACAGCCAAAGTATGTGATCTCTAGCGCAGCACAGCCAGGTTGTGTGCAAGGAACACAACTAAAGTATCTGAGCACCATGGCCAGGTATTTGAACCCTAGCAAGCACTACATCCAAAATGAGAGCACCGCAGTTGTGGCCAGCATGTGTACAAACAAGCACCACAACTGTGTGTATGGCTCCAGTGAACAACACAACCAAAAAGCATACAGTCACTACAAACAGGTGTGTGATTCTTGGCAAGAACCAGGGCTAAGTGTGCAGATACTACAACCAGAGTACGACCTCGCACGAATACCACAGCCTGGTGAATGAGTGCTTCAGAAAGGTATGCACAGTCCCCTTCATCAGAACAAAGGGAGTGGAATTTGCTATAGAATAGGGTAAATGCCATCTGTCAGATGAAGGTATCATAGCTTATTCCAGTTTTTGTTCATAAAGATAAGCGTTTAGGATAAAGTTTAAGGTAAAGCAGTTAAAATGTCTGCATTTTTCCTTTAGAGTGATAGCACAGCGGTAGGGCGTTTGCCTTGCACGCAGCCAACATGGCCGACCCGAGTTCGATTCCTCCGCCCCTCTCGGAGAGCCCGGCAAACTACCGAGAGTATTCGATATGCCAAACACAGTAACAACAAAATCTCCAATGGAGACGTTACTGGGCCTGCTCGAGCAAATCGATGATCAACGGGAGGGCCTTTACTTTACACATATAGGCATATATTCACACATGTATCTCACTTAGTTATATGTATGTTTGCAAAATACAATGCAAGAACAAAGTGCAATTCCATTGCATCCTGATTATATTTCTCTCATATATGCCAAGCTATTTTGTTTTTTCAGCAGTATTAAATGCATGGTTACATTCATTCCATTTGATTTACATTTCTCTGTTTAAAATATTCTGCAAGATACTTAGAGGTAAATAATAATATGTTATTATATATTACTTAATGTATATGTGTCATGATAAATTATTTTCTGTTTTTCATAATCTTCATCTTTTAATATTCAGAAAAGTACTGTAAGTTATTTCTGGGCTGTTGAAAGTTGTGGCTTCATTTCTTTGCCCAGAAAACCTATTCGGTAGAAGCTGCTGTCCTCTGATGTTGGGGTGTGTACAGAAGACGACTGTTCATGGAATTTAGCACAAAAATCTGAACAGAACAAAAAAAGGAATCTGTGGGGCCAGAGTGATAGTATGGCTGGGAAGGACACTTGCCTTCAGTGCAGCCTACCTGTGCTCGATGATGCAGTGCAGTAGGCCACCAAGACCACTTGAACACTGATTGGGGGATTGAACTCGGGACCCGGTTCATGCATGCTGGGCATGCTCTTCAGATCTGAGTTTGCTCCCTACCCCCGTAACTCTTTAGGGCACATTTTATTTTATTGATTTTTGGGCAACACCTGGCAATGCTCAGAGATTACTCCTGGCTCTGCACTCAGGAATTACTCCTGGTGGTTTTCGGGACCTTGAGCTAGTCTAACTATCAGAACTCTGTATTGCCATCATGTCTGAGTACCAGTATGGAAAAAGAAATAGATGGACTGAACGGTCTGTGTACCTATATGTACATATACTCACAGCAAATAAGAATTTACATTTATCTAAAAATTTACAGATACTAATTTCAGAGAAGTCAGTATTTTACTTCAGTCTTTATTGTTCATCTATTCTAAATTTTCTACACTAAACATATAAATCAGAGGTTCCAAAACTTATCTGACCCACTATTCCCTTTTCAAAAAAAATATCAATCACTCAGCGAGTGTCCCCCTGAACAACTACCTTAAGTGAACCAACAGAAAGCATCCCAATGGCACCTGAGGTTACTGTCAATGCCATCAGCCCCCCAGACACTCCAGAGTTCTTGCAACCTCTCTGGGAAACACTGATGTAAACTCAAAAATTAATAAAAGTTACAAAATTTTTGTTAGAAGTAGGTTAGCATTA